CATCTCTTGGATATATTCATCACAGAGTGAACCATTCCAGTGATTTTGTTGATCCCATTACGGGGACGCACACAAATTCTATAGAAGGATTTTGGAGAAGATTGAAAAATATGACTAGGGCTATAAATGGATCTCAAAAGGATCTCATTTATAGTCAACTTGATGAATATCTGTACAGAATGTGGTGTGACTATTCTATTGACATTCCTATGCTAAACTGGGAGATGTTTCTGTCATATGTTAGAGAAAGATACCCTATGTAACAGTTTTATGCAGTTTTTCCATAAATATACGTTTTCCTTTATCGAAAATCCCTCTTTCATGTGATTGATCCGTTGAAGGCCGTTCGCTGATTGGGTAGTTAGTGGTGCTTGAAGTTTAACTTTGCCATAATACAGTCAAAGATTACATAAATTAAAATGAACTTTCCTTTGAAGATCAATTGTTGGTAGACTCGGTGCTCAAATTATTATTACAGGAAGAAATACGTAATATCTATGTGATCGTGAGCTGGATTTACCTACCATATTCCCCCCCCCGACGGGGTGAGTGATGGTTTTTCCACCAATAATACGTTTGAAGCAATGGATGCTGGGTCCCAGTCTCACGAGGAACACTATCACCCACTGTGAGAGATGAGGGTGAGGTATACAGGCACATCCAACTGACGAGTCCCGAATAGGACGAAATGCGCATCCTAGATTCCACTGCCAGTCATCATCAACCGAAAGAAAAGGATACAAGGCGACCTCGTGGACTGTTAAGCCACTGCGATCCCATCCAATAGATCATGAATGCCAACTTTTACCAATTCGCTACACATATTGCGCAACCACTAGCCAAAGTTTCATAGGTGGGTAACTATTCGTTTACCTGACTTGGTGAACCCTCTATTGACCATGACTTCACAACTGAATTCCTGGTAACTTCTTGTATACAGTCAGTCATTAGTGAGTATCAGATTAATTTTAAAGTTTTGGTTTATATGGATTTGACTGACCTCAAAGTTGGATCAGGAATTGCTATTACTGGAGCCGATAATTCAAGTTTGCCTTATTACCGAAAGGTCCTGGGTTCGAACCCTGGTGGGTGTACACTGATGATGAGTCCCAAACTGGGGCGAAACAGCCGTCTGCCTAGTATTCTAGTATAATGCTGGTTTTCCACTGGAACTCTCACTGATGTCAGCTGGTGACCAAACCTGAAACAAATCAGACAAACAAACTCGCTAGTAACTGGTTGGTTACAAGACAAATTTGCCGCCAATGACACTGGCTAGTAGTCGTGCTAAAAATTGGAATTCATGGATCATTGGATCGGGTCCCAGTGGCTGGAATAGCTTACGAACTTGACTTGTAACCGGATGGTTCTAGATTCGAAGAAACCCGGAGGGTGCGCACAGTTGAAGAGTACTAAACCAGGAAGAAACAGAAGCGGTTGTCTAGTAATCCCTAGTTTCCTAATTAGTGTTACCTTGTGACTAAACCAAAAAACAAACAAGCAAGCAAAAGGCGTTTTCAACTTACACACAATGAATAATTATTACTCTGAAGAGCAGGAGTGTTTACTCCACTCCTACTGTTATTATTATTATTACTACTATCCTTTACTGAATACACATCACTCATCATATCATAAGTACGATTTGATTTGCATTTATGTTCAATCAAGGATAACCATTGTTTCACTGTTGGATCATGACAAGCGCATTGTTGTTGCAGTTGGTGTTGCTGCTGCTGTTGCTGTTGTTTAACACGATTAAATACAGATGAATGATGCTTTAAATAATCAATTCTAGTGTCATTATTCTCTCCACAACAACCATCATCTTCTTCTTCAAATGCACGTGGTAAACAAATCGACGGCTTATTTGGATCAGCAAAATGACCAGAATATCGACAAGTCAGTCGACCAAATGTTGAAATAAATTCAGTCAATTGTACATTTTCAATGGAGAAGGTGATGAATGGTGTAAAATCAGTTGTTAAACTGATTGACTCAGCTTTACGTAGACAGTCGTTTATTTTAGCATCATATTCACTTCTTGATAGACAAGACTGTAGCAGAATTGATTTCAGGGATTCTATTTTTTGTTTATTACTGAAAGATAAAAACAGGAAAAACAGACGAAATAGGAATTATGGTGATAATAATAATATTTTAGAACAACACATTTAAACGAACAATATTGTTTTCATGATGTTAGACAGTTGGAGGCAATCGTCAGGAAGCCTTGGACCTAGGTTTCGTGCTAGTTGGCACTCATCAGCAAGGCGTATCTGCAACCTTGAAGATACTCATGTCCCTTATGAGGAGATTCGAAACCGCGTCACCCAGTGGGGCTGTAGTCATAGACCTTACCACTGAGCTATTCGGGCTTGTGATTGACCTCCTGTAGGACTGTAGTAGGTATTTGGATTGGACACTAGGAACTAGTGTGACGTGTCTAGTCCTTTCATTTTGATAGAATTCAGTCTGCATTGAGCCCGAACAGCTCAGTTGTAAGGTCTATGACTGCAGCCCCACTGGGTGACGCAGTTTCGAATCTCAGAAGGGACATGAGTTCCTTCAACATGGTTGCAGATACGCCTTGCTGACTGGCGAGTGCCAGCTAGCACAAAACCTAGGTCCAAGGCTTCCTGACGATTGCCTTCAACTATCTAATATCATCAAATCAATGTGCACCGTAATGGCGAGCTACCTAGAACTTAAGTTTCAAAGTCATGTGATTATAATTGATATGATTATGAACAATAAATTTTGTCAGAAACGTCATCCAGTAAATAATAATGTTTCACTGTGTGATACATCTAATAAACACACTAATATGCTAAGGAAGTATATCGCGTTAATCAAGGCAATCTATATTGAGTTCATGCTACCGTGTAAGAGATTACAGAGAGTTATCATCTGAAGTGACCCCAACTGACTTTAGCGACATACGGATTGACAGTCTTGTTGACCCTGAGTAACGCAAATGACACTGTCCTCCTAGGTGAAGAATCGGGCGAAATGCAGAGTCTTTTCGACACTTTGAGGAGCAGAAATCTTCGAGTGTTTGGCATACAATTCACACCTGTGAAATGCAAGACGACACTGCAGGACTGGACTACAATGAATCCCAGATTAAGGATAGGGAGAGAAGTGATTGAGTGTGTTGACCACTACACTTATTTAGTAATTTACTTCAACCCCCAATGGATTGATCAGTGATGAAATCCCAGCGTGGATACACAAAGCTCATGTGGCTTTTTAACAACTTACCTTATCTCTGGCTTAGACGTGATACCTGGCTGTCGATCAAGGGACAAGCGTACTATGCACAGCTGTTTGTTCTATCCTCCTTTATGACTGTGAGATATAACTATTGAAATTACATGACTTTAAGAGGCTAGTTGTCTTTGATTAAGGGGGCGTAAAACGGTGAGTAGTATTGAAGTTAGGCTTAGTATAACATGAGGAGGGAGAGTCAATCTATGACACCGTGAAGCTATTGAAATGGCTAAGAGACAAGCCACAACTCTACTTGACAAATGAAGTTAGTTGACATAGGATTCGATTGGTAAAGAGTTAGGAGGGGGTGGTCAGATCGAAATCTAACAACAATCCATGAATTCTCCGACTGGTAGTCCGAGTAACGTAGGGGGTGGGGGATGCACAATGCCTGGTTGGGATTGTTGGAATTTCAATAACCGATGGATGGAGACAATTGGTGATATGCCTCAAAATCGTTGTCAATGTATAGTGCGGATGTATTCAATCTTTGTGATTTATAATATCCAATAAAACTCTATTGTTCTTCTATAATACTATCCTTTTTCTCTCACTCACACTTCTGTCTATTATCTCTCTCTCTCTTTTGAATCTCTCTTTACTCTCTTCTCTTGCTTTGTATACATGGAGGCAGTATGGCAACTTGAATTGCTGCAGTACTTCTGTGCAAAATCCTACTGACTGACTGGTTTCAACACAGAACTTTGAACACCAATTCAACTTGCCACATTCCACTTACCGCACAAAGAAACAGAAGAGAGTAACGAGAAGTTGAAAAGAGAGATAATGAACACAAGTGTGAGTGGGAGAGAAAGAATGGTAACATGGAAGAACAATAGAGTTTTATTGGATATTATAAGTCACAAGGAGTGGATGCATCTGTGCTATTCATTGAGAACGATTTTGAGCCAGCCATATCACCAATTGTCTCCAGTCTTCATTGGTTTATAACCGTCCCGAGGACCCCAACCAGGAAGTCTACACCTTCCTACTTGGCTTAAACTAACTGTTATGGATTTCATTGACTGATGAAGTCATGTTTTCGTTTGACCACCACTACTAGCCTTCTCTCCCAACCTGATCCATCCTATTTCAGTCAGCTAACATTGCCCGTGGTGGAAGGCGATGACTAGGGTAGACGAGACATGCGTAACAACCTCGTCGATTGATTTCCCCTCTCTCCTTACCTTACACTCGACCGACGCCTAATCCCAATATTGCTCACCTTATCATACGACCTAACCTGGGAGATAGAAAGCAGGCACCTATGATCAAAGACAGCTAGCCATGCTTTTCATGTCTTCCACTTTCAGTAACAATGCCTCACAGCCAGTCATAGAGGAGGACAAAACGAACTGCTGAGCAGTACACACGTCCCTTGGTCGACAACCAGCCGGATATCACGTCTACACCAGAGATGGCATCAGGCGGCATGTGAATAGCAAACAAGCTTTCTGTATCCGTGCTGAGATTTCGTCAGCGATCAACCCCTTGGGGCTGATGCAACTTACCAAATAAGTGAAGTAGGCGGTAGGTAGTAGGACCAGAAAAGGAAGCTTCGATTTGAGGCTGACTAGCAACCACCAACCCGTAAAAGCAACACAAGTTCTGGTGAAACTTTACACTTAAAGTTTGGCACCCTACATTGCAATCAGAACAAAAACGAATGAAAACATAATAATAACAATAATACTAACAGTAATAATTATAGCAAAATCGTAACCAACCTTTCAATGAGTAATGATTTTTCTTTAGAAATATTATGTAATTGAATAAGTAGATGAGATTGTCGCTTGCTTAATAATTCGATTAAATTTTTAAAATTTGCTCTTATTTCAAATTCAGCATTAAGAACATTTTGTTCAAGTAATGGTTTATAATCGTCTAGCCTTTGATCAAGTTGATCTAATCGTTTCACTGCATTTTTTATTCTTTGCTCCATTTATGTCAGGCGAGAGAGAGAGACACAGAGCGAGACGAGGGGAAGTTAATCTGAAATTTAAAAAAAGGAAACATTATGACTGATAAAAACAAAATTGGTACACAATAGTTACAAAGGAGACATACCACACAAGAACACATTGTTTGTGGACGGCGTGAGATACTGTGAGGACGGCCAAGCAGGAGCAGGTGGGTGTTTAAAGGAGCTTCCTCACCCTCCAAGCCTTTGACTTGAAGTCTGATTTACAAGACGATGAGGCTGAGTCAGGAAATACATCCCCATGTTTTCCAGTAGCCGAAACACGTTCATACGATATTCAACCCATTCGGATTCTGGAGAACATGTACACCCTAGAGGTTTAAAACCAGGGTTTCCCAGCTCCTTAGGTAGACTTGCATGTCCACTAATCCGGTTGTAAGCGCCAGACGTTCGCATTGGCTTTGTCATGTTTTTGAGAAAACATTCCAGTGTTCGTGTCTGTTTTTATTGGGTGAAACACTCGGTTTTCAGTTATTAGGTCCCGGGTTTAAATCCCGATCCATTTACTTCAAGTGTACACACATAAATGTGACTCACGGTAGGGTAAACGCAAAATCTGTTCTGGGTAGCTGAGTTCAGAAAACCCACTAGGGTTAATGCGAATTTACAGGTAAATGGTTAATGCTCTCAACTACTTGGCTCTCTACTGTCGGACGTCATGTAAATATACATCAATCTTTAAGTGATGAAAAGTATTTAAATGAGAACTACAACTCAAACTTTTATTGATTAACACACCACACAAACTCTGTACGGTACGAAGTAAAACGGTTTAAGTTACCACTGTTTGGAATAGCATTCAGAAGCAAAAAGCAAAACAGGAAAATGTATAAGAAAGACGATAACTACATGAAGATGAGGCGTTTGAAACTACGGGCACTGGGTTCGAGCCTCGGCAGTGGGAACATCATCACTCACTGTGGAATGCAGGTACATGCAGGTGACGAGTCCCAAATAGGACGAAATGCGCATCCTGGATTCCAATGCTAGTCACCATCCACCAATTAACCTCCAGTTACATGAAGACGAGTTTAAATGGTTAGAATTTTGAAAATAATATAGAAAAGTATCTGTGCCGACTAGGACCTACAGGATGCTGAAAATAAATTCTTGCATATTTTAGGTAACTTGAATCAAAATCATTCAAAATGATGCAGATTTAGTGACTTTACCACTGAAATTTCGAACACACTACTCTTTATTAGGTTATTCATTCTCTAATCGCCTTAATTTTTTTTCTTTTTTCAAATAGAGTGATTAGAAATGACGGGTACCAGAGCAAATTTCAATGCTGAGTCATCAGTCATAGTTCGAAAAGGAGATATTTGTCAGTACACCTCTGGTATAATTAAACAACGACGCTGGATACATGCCACTTGACATACACAAACACCGTAAGAGAGAGTTCGCAGCAAGCTACAACAATACAACGGTTATCCTGGCATAAGATTCTTAGCAACATGACTTATTAGTCAAACAAGCCGTACAAACAGTGATATCTCTACAAAACCTGTTCACTGATGAAGTCAAATGCCACACGTACATGTAGAAATTCACCAAGTAATTTTATCCGATAGCAGAACATGAGTTGAATGCTTACAAAACAAAAATTATTACTGAGAAAAAAGGTGACGGAGTATACTGAGTACTGAAAACTGAGTAAATAGCCATAATATAGAAATTCAAAAACTGAAGTTAATGTAGATTACCGGTAAAGTGAAGGAAGCAATTGCAAAGTAATCAACAAAGATATCTGACTGGTTAAGACATGGAACTTTTTTCATCTAGTACAACACAGACTCTTAAAACTTAGTAAATAAAGTAGTTTTAAACTCTCCACTAATTTTGGCTTACAGTTCTATTATGGGATATGTACGTGATTGATTGACAATTTATATCAACTAGTCAAGAGGGGCGAAGTTAGAGTATCATAGCTAAAGCCACAAGGTCTTCCAAGATTTGACCTTTAAGAACAAATCAGATACAGTGAGTGCCATGAAGTCATTCCAGATAAAACCATGCCTGCCTTTCTGGACTTGGAGAAGGTAGATACAGTATTCCACTTATTCCCTTGGTACCTTTTCTGTAAATCTATACTGTTACGTAGGGTTATGGCTTTGTCGCTTAGGATTTAGGGTCTACGGTTAAGGTTAGGATTATGGTTAGAGTAAGGAATAGGTCAAAGGACAGTGTCAGAAATATAAATAGATCTCAAAGTAATATGACCTACAGTTGCCTGAATGAATGCATTTATGATTTCTGCATAGATCATTTGCGCAGTGGTTTGGATACATTCTTCAAATATGTAAGCGATAACTATATGGTGTAATATCATGTTAGCAGTCGGTCGGTCGGTCGGTTTTCGACATAGAACTTTGCACATATAAGCGGCAGTTCAAGTCGCCACACTCCTCCCACGTAGCACACAAAGCAAGAGAAGAAAGTAGAACTGCATAATATAGACAGTAAACAGAGGTGTGAGACAAAGGAATAGTAATAACGGAGAACAAAACAGTTTAATTGGAAATCATAAGTCACAAGGAGTGGATGCATCTGCGCCACTGAGAACGATTTTGAGCCATGTCACCATCATGTTAGCAACGATGTTCAACTTTCCAGTATGTGAATTCTGATTGGTTGTTTAAGGTCGGTGTCGTTTTGGCTGACACCTCAACTTTGCCTATCTTATTATTAAGCCCAACACAAAGCCAAATCAGTGTGAGACGTTACATTTAGCACAGGAAAAGACAGGAAAAACTATGAAGTTATCTTTTTTAAACATACATGTCATACACCACTGGAATTGTAAAAAGGAGACACAAAACTTAGGAAATCCTTAAAATGTGTTCAGCAACAACAAATGTATCACAGAGATATATTGATTTTTCCTTCTACTTCATAGTCTCTGTAATGATCATTTTATCGAAAAAGTTAGTGAAAAGACTTAGTGGGGTTGAAAAAAAGTATAAGTAGTATTAAGCTCACCATTGTTGATAAGCAAGAGAAAACGCTTTCACAAACGATTTATTGGGATGGAAAGTGTTACGTTTTAAAAAGAATAATGCAGAATTTGGGATTTTTTAAGACCTATCACCGAATGACGTATTCATTTTGAAAAACAGTCTGCAACTGAGTATGTTCGAAAAACAAACACTGACGCACCCAATCCTTTTATAAAAGTGACGAGTTAGCAAAATCAAACCAAGAAAACTGGAGATATAATAAATTACTTTAGCAAGATATTTTCCATTGGCAGTAACAAAGATAATGTGAAGCATAAAGCGTTGAAGGCCCTCATGTAGCTCCTACTTCCGGGGATTGTGGGGTTGCGTTTGGCGAACTTACTAACCTAGAACCTAATACGTTATGAAGCCCTGACCAAATCACGCCCCAGGGTTTCGCACAAACTTAACAGACTTCACTTTCAATTCTGTAGACAGATATGATAGAACAGGTACAAACAATAATGTTAGTCATAGAACTTAATGATCTCGCCTATCGGAATTTCAAATCTTTTCTCATCATAATACAGACAGAAGAGTAGTGATACTTCCATGAAGCACGCCTAAATACCCATCGGAAAAAATGGGTGAATAATTAGCAAATAATGAGCATAGCCATTCGAAAGAAAAATGGAAGAACTTTGGTAATATGACATAATTTTCGCATTCTTACTAGTGTAATTTCGGTAAAACGTTTTACCGAAATTACACCAATATTTCACCTTTAGTAAACTAATGTCCCCTTACAATTTCCCCAATATCCTACCAAAATTTAACCAGTATTTTCGTATAATTTAACCATTAATTTCCCATTTTAACCACTTTTAAGCAATATTTTCCCATTCGACCATCATTTAACCAACACTCGCCCAAAATCGGGCTCATCTAGCCACTATTTAATAATTCTTTTTGTTCAACTGGAATATCTTTTAATTTCGCTAATTGGTGAATTTATTCACGTTCTGTAGTTCACAACACCCTGTATTGAAAAAATTCGCGCGAATGTTACTGAAATTGAAATCAATAGGTGAAAAAGATAAGAGGTAAGACAATGGCTCACACTGAAACTCGAACGGAAATGAGGACGAACCCTTAGGTCGATTCTAGCGCAAAACTTTAAAGAGGGCGCTCTATATTATCAATATCCATTACAGATTTCAGATTTACTGGTTGATGAGAGAAGCCTTGGAGCCTATGTTAATCCTTTTCTAGTAAATCTCCGTGCTTTTCTAAACCCTTCTTGAAGGAATCAGTTGAGGTTGCAGACATCACTTCCTCTGGGAGTCTGTTCCAAGAGTTTATGACTCGGTGCGAAAACGAGTACTCAACAGCAATATGATTTCTTCTTGGCTTTTGAACTCTCCTGCTATGTCCTCTAAGGTGTTTCGACCTGGTGGGAAGGAAAAGAGCGAATAGGTCAGTTCCGTAGTCATTATCTGAAATTTTAAACATTGTAATTAAATCTCATCTGTGGCTACGGTATGACAGGGAGAAGAAATTTAAACTGTCTAGTCTTTCCTCGTATGATAAGTTAGTCATACCGAGAATTATATGTGTCGCCTTTGAACCATTTCTAGAGTGTGTGAGACCCCTTTGAGACAAGGACTGGCTGCCTGGATACAGTTCTCTAGTCGTGACCTCACCTGAGATGCATATCAGGAGGTGAACATATCTCTGGTGATTCCAGTAAAGGTTCTGCGAACTGCCCATAAAGACATGAAACTGCGTGCAGCCACCGCGCAACAGTGTGTTGTAGTTCTTAAATCGTGGTTAACTATGGCACCAAAGTCCGAAGTCCAAAGAATCTGATTTACTGTAGGGTCAGGTTTTTGGCAGATTCTGTATACGCTGTGTATTGCTATGCCTGATACTGTCCTTGGCAGTAGCTTATCTAAGTTAAGGTCATGCTCAAATATGGCCTTGGGGTCGGAGGCCTGTGACTCTTCCACTTTGGGGAGAATGAGCGACCTGTCAGATAGATCAGGTTTGCTTGCCGTGGCTTTCTTGCTCTGTGGCGCAAATGTCTTTTGTCCTTCATGGGCAGTGTAGCCGATGTGTTGTCCTTATCTCGCTTTTGCGAGAGACTACATTACGCCATTCATTGGCGTCCTCCTCGCTAATCTTAGTCGACTTATCTGCCTGCTATCCACCGGTGTGGATAAGGATTAATCTACAAGTCCCTGGGCGACCTGAGTTGCAGGTTCTCGACCCCTGGTACGCCTCTTCTTCGTGCCAGTCTTTCCGTTACTGTCACTGGAAGGCTTATCCGTAACAACTGAAGGCTGCGTTACGTGTGGACAATATGGTGGGCTATTCACAAAACCATAAAAATGGCTTTTAGAACGTTAGTTGGTTTGCGGACAACAATGTTTTCAGAAAAATCATCTGCAAGAGGCTCACCACAGCATTTAGTATCTAGTTAAACATGTAAAGAAATACTGATGAATCATCATGATCAGCAATCGGTGGATTTTTAAATTCATTTCTGCTAGGAACCAGAATGACTGCGAAATAATCCATAAAAAATGATAAACGAAGTATGCAGAAGCAGATACCATCAGGATTCGAAATGCAGCTACCAGCATATTTTCATTATATTTTAGATATCCTTATTTATCGGCGCAACATAGTTAGTGATATGGATTTGTCAGCGTGATCAACATTTGGATGAATATCCACATGTGTACTACAGCTTGTTCGCCATCCAGATATAATTAATTCCATTTCGTGTGGGGTTTGATTAAACAATAGACATGTTCTTGGAAGTAAATATCACTACTTTCTCGGTTATCTGATATCATAACTTGTATGTATTAATTCCCTTTAACTATTTCACCATTGCTGAAAGGAGGCGAATCAGTCAGTGATTCTAAGTTCGAATGAACCTTGGTCTGACGAAATTTGGAGGATTTGTGGCATTCGTGTGTCTAATACATCCCCATTTTCGCCCAAATATTTGTTTAACGATAGGTTCTTGGTTGGTATGTTCCCGTACCGTCTTGTTGCTGATTCTTTCTGACCAGCCATCCGATCTTCAATATGGAACGAAGGAAACGCCCTTCTTGACACTGACGCCGGTTCTGACCTATTCAGAAGAACTGGGTGACTTCACATTGGTTTTGAAAATTCGAATCTTGTTCTTTATGCTGAGTGCAGAACACTCCCAGACTGATCTCAGAGCGATCAAGGTGCATTTTGCATTTCCGATTCTGCCTGGCTTTGACATCTTCATCCGTGTTGTCCGCCTGTGGTTGAAATGATGCTTCCTAGACAAGTGAAGGAATTAACCTCTGTTAAATCTCTCCTGTTGATGGTGGTTGGTGCTGCTTATTGTTGTTGGTTGGTTATCTTCATCGCTTCCGTCTTCTCTGTGTTCACTTGGAGTCCTGTCTTCACTGATTCTTCAGCCATTTTGTTGGTTTTCACCTGCAAGTCTTCGAGTTTATGTGACATTGGAAATAAATCATCCACACGTGAAATTCAGATCTTCTAGAGTCTTTTCATCGGTGGTCCAGTGTATTCCTCTCCCCTCGCTTCCCACAGTCTGACGCATAATCCAGCCTATCTTAATTAGGAATGCCGTCGGTGATAATGGGCAGCCCTGTCTTCCTCTGCCGAATTGATGTTCAGCCCTAATTTATTTCACAAATCAGACCACTGTTCCTGAATAAGCAGAGCCCTTTGCTCAAGCAAACTGCTGTTGCACACTGATACATTAAATAGGGTAAGGGATTTCGATCGACTGACCTCCGCAGACTTAAGTTCGCGAAATCTGCGAAATCCAGATATTCTAGGGTTTTCTTGTCGGTCAAACGCATTCCTATATTCTCGCTATTCAATCACAACATTCTGCAAGGTCCACCAAATTTGTGAATAGCATCAGTGATAGTATTCAGCCTTCTATTACTCCTGTGCTTACTTCGAACGCCTCGCTGAGTTTTCGTTGTGGATCACCTGACAGGCGTCATTATCACGCGCGATTTCGATCAAACGTTACAATCTCTCCCCATAACGTGGCTATATTCTTACCGATTTCTCGAATATCGTAGTGGATATTATACTACTCCTCAACTTTAACTTATATTGGCTGCTACCCCAGCTTCCAATTACGCAGATATATCACCGCTAGTTATCAAGTTTGGATCCACTCCTTCGCAGTGCTCATCCTCCTTTTTGTAATCTAAGAACAACGTCACACTAAAGAAAACTATAGAGAAGTTCATTATTTTGTGGTTTATAAATCAGGATCAATTTTCAGGAAAATTGGTTTCTATATAGTCTGTATTTTACGGTTTAATACTTTTGTCGATTTATTGTTTATTTATGAGCAATAAAATCCATACCGTGCCTATAGTAGTTCTAAGTCTGTATATCCACTCAATATATTATTTGTCCATATACCTGTTTTCGATTTAGCTCAGCTTGTACTTCAAACCATACTGATCTGTGTTCAACAATGACTCAGTGTAATAAACGAGTACTTTCTTTACGTAAGAATAGTTTAGGTCACTCGGCTAAGAAGATACGTACATCCCTACACGTTCCACCTAGCCTCGACAACGTCCCCGAAGTCATTGTGTCCGATTTGTCATCAGAGATATACGCAACTCCTAAACAAAATAATTTGGACCTTATTTCTCTAGGAAACTCTGTGAAGGAATTCAATGAGAATATAAACACCATTAAGCCGTTACTGATTCTTTGAAACCCAACTCACGATACCGATCCGGAAAGTCTGCTGAAGTCTGAGCGTATGTTAGACTTTATAGCCAATGAAGTGACTAAACGAATCATGTCTTCGTACAACGTTCTCGCATACAATCTGCCTGATCGGACGCCTCTGGAAAAATCAAAGTGACATGTCTCCAAGCGTGCGGCATGCCATCAGCGAACTGCCACCTAATCAGGCTCAGGAAAAAATCAGGAAATTATACTCGTCCTGTGCTGTTTAAATTCAGTAGTCCTAATGATGCTAGGAAATTCCAGTCGTCTAACAAGCTAATTAGTTCATCTACACCTTATGGTAACGTTAAACTTACTCATGACCTAACCCTATGTCAAAGACGTAGTCACGCAAGTGTATCAAGTCTCGCAAACACATACGTAACTGCAGAATGTCCTACAGAAGACTCTCTCGCTCTACATTTAAGTAAACCTAATGTTACGGACACGCATGAAAACGAAATACTTTTAAGTAATAAAGCTTTACCTAGTAAACCCAACAGTGAAGCAAATATGGCCATAGACTTAGATGCATCTTTAGAGTTATGCTCGCTAGACACATCACCATCAGCTGCTAATACCACTACCGATGTCACACAAAAGGCTAAGCTTGAGAATGTAGCATTCAATATAACCTCCCCGAGTAGCACTCAGACTAGTGTGCACACAAAACGAAGTAAAACAACCCTGCCATCCAGAATACCTGTACTCAAACCCGTCACTGATAGGTTTCCCAGCAGTAAACCAAATAACACTAACTTAAGCGACTCAAATCCTACCATTAACTCAGGGAAGCTGAATAAGTCTTCATGCCACCATAAATATAACGTCAATGAAAAGAGAGGTCACCCGCCAATTCATCCAACATCGAACAAATCTTCATCCGATACACACAACAGATGCTATATGTATAGGCACCCTAAAAATAAGTTGAAACCCTACGGGCAGGCATACATCTACCCCGACACAACTCTCCTATCTTTGGCTAATGTAGATAAAAGTTTGACCCAGAGACCCCCACAACAAGGAACGAGTGGGTTAGGCTTCTTTCCTAAAAGTGGCCATCTGACTTACCACATCCCCGACAACCACCCAAGGTCATTGATGGACTAATATTTACGAAAATAACTCAAAAACACAAAATATCGGTCATAACTGCTATGCACGTGACTTTACTCCAGCATACTATCCACAAGAAATACCTACCTCCCCTTCATCCAATCTAAATTTTCTCAGCCAAGACGACATTTCAGCCTCAATATTGACGCAAATAGCACACATGCTGTCAAGCCACTTATCACCGGAGGGGCGGGTGATGCATTGAAGCCACGGTATTATGAACACCTCACACCCACCGGGGTAACCAACGATCGCACATCTCTCTGTGCTGATACAGGTGTAGTGCACTTTTCC